GATTAGCTATGTGCTGTACTGAGAAATGTTAGGTAGACTTCATTGAATTACTTTCAGTGTTTCGTGGCTGTGAAACTTAAATAATTTTATTGAGAACATGAGGTGAAAACTGATTAATGCACATTTGTAAATTAATTTTTACATGTTTTTACACTGAAAGGCCACCTGTCCTAGAGTGGCCCATATGCTGTGAAGTGATTGCTCTTATACCACCCATCCATTTTCTTCTCAGGGGTCATCCCAGATCAGTTTATTAACGCAGAGAAATTCATGCCTACAGTCAATTTACCCATTATCCTGAGATGCATACCCTTGGACCAGGGGAGGGAGCTAGGGTACAAACAAATAGAACCTATGCAGGGATGTGGTGAATATGTAACCTCAACCCCTTTTGGATTTGAATCCAGGATCTTTTTGATTTTGCCGCTGTCATGATTCGTCTTTGATTTAAGAAAAAAATCTGCATGCGTTCATTGGAACCATGATATCTTTTCAGGATAGCAGTCCAATCATTTTTAACAAAGTAATCAGAAGTGGAACCTCTAAATTTTGCAGACTTAAAAGCAAAAGTAGCACAAAACCTAAAGGCAATGAATCTGATCACAACAGTTAAACTAATCAATATCAAACTACATGATCAAGTAAATGGACTCTTACATTGTTTTGGGCCAAGAAAAATGTTTGTGAAGACTAAGGATTTAATATGAAGATGATGTCAAATGTAACTTGCTTTCACATGGTGTGGGGTTTTCTTTTGGAAAAAAAAAATGTTCTACCAACTTCCTTACTAATTATTGAATATTTGTCAGTAATGTGTTAAGAGAAATCAAAATAGTGCTAAAACTGCAGGATACAGCCACTGATTCCAGAGTACCTTTGGATGTTTAACACATTTATTCGCTCCAAAACAGGCCTTCTTGCCCTAGTCGGAAGTAGGAAAGAAGGATGTACAATCATGAGCTGGAAATGCTGTGCAATTGTCAAATGGAACAAACTTTTATTTTGTGCTCACATTTTACTCGAAACCACACTCATTAGAATTTAAATTGTATTTAATTTGTCTCACTGAGCAGTACCTCAGCTGAAATTTGAGTTCGTGCATACGGTTTTGTGGACAAACGGCTGGACTACATTCTAGTCTCGGCACTCATCAGAACATGCAGAGCAGAGGATTTGTCTGTGCCGGGCCTGCTCTGTTGGAAGCAGGGTGGCTTTTTCTGCTGAGGGGATTACAGTAGTTTCATGTTTGTTTAATCAAAGGAAAGAAATAATGGTGCAAAATTGACTTTGTTATACTGTGAGATCTTAAATAATTGAACTTAATTCTAGCATCAAGTGGCAGCCAAAGAGGTTGTGCTATGTCTCTGTTCAAGTGTCTTAATTCAGCCTTTAATTAGGCCTTTGAGATTACAGTTAGACAGCGGGGGCTGAGAGGGCTTTTCTGCTTCTTCTGTGTTGAACCTTGTGTGTGAAGCTCTCAGATGATTGCAGTGTTCAGTACCAGCCTCCAAACCAAAACAGTACTTTTCTGTCTGTTTTTCTCCCTCTGTCCCCTGTTCTTATTCTTTAAGAGCCACTGGCAAAATCAGTGCGACTAGACGAATACATGTTTCTCCTGGCTGTGCCCTTTGTGCGCCTTTGTTGGCTGCCAACTAAATCAATATTGTATGAACAGCAGGGTGACCTGAGCCTGCGCTAACACACCTGTGATTTGTCTATTATCTCAAGTCTAAAAGCCACTTCTTGTCAAGATTCTGTTATCTTCCAGAGCCGCGCAGTTCAGTGTGCATCTCTGAAAAGGTTTTCTATTTTTCTGACCGGTCAATTTAATTTAAAGTAATAGATTGAAATTGTATTTTGTTATTGTTTCTGTCTCACCAGTTGGCATCTGTTTCTTTTTTTAAGTCACAGAATGTCAGTTCAACTCAGCCTTCTGACATTTAAGCTCCCCTTGTTTTTGTGCCATAGCAATGTTTATGTGTGCTACTTTGCTTTTGCTCCGTGTAAGCAATCGAACCGAGCGCTCTTTCCAGGCAGAAGAGGAGAGGGAGGACTAGAAGAGGTTGCTTTCCTCTCATTATCTGTGTCTTGCCTTTACCTTGACCTGAGCTCACCACTGTTTTTATTACAGGCCCTGTCTCTGAGCCAATCGGGAAGAATAAGAACAAAGCACAAAGTCAATTCAGCTGGAGTGGGACACAGTAACGAGTGGCTGTGTGTGAATGTGAACACACACACGTACACACTGAACTACAAGGGTGCAGAGAACGTTCTTGTTTGTCACTACCTTTAGGAGCTGCATGCAGAAGTGATTTAGTGTTTAAATTACAGGCTTGGCTCCATGTGAATTATCTGGCGACATCATGCTTTTATACAAGAAAGTAATTAAAAAGATTAAACTCACCAAAAAAAAGGCAACAGATAGCTGGCAAAAGTCAAATTTTACCATCCACACTCTTACCACAGGGCTCTATCCACTTTTAAAGTAGGATTTTTTTTACATCTTGTTATTGCCAAAAGTTTTGAGAATGACCCAAGTTTTGATTATCACAGTTTGCAGCTTTAGTTTTTGTGATGCCAATTTGCGTAAACTCCAGAATCTCAAGAAGAAACAAACAAACAAAAACAATTTATACTGCAGTTCAGCACTGCAACATGAGCACCTGTTAGCATCATTTCAGGGATCCTCTCATTTACACAGGTGCTAGTGGACAAGGCTGGAGATCACTCTGTCATGTTGGTTGAGTCTGAATAGCAGACAGGATCCTTTAAAAGGAGAGTGGTGGTTGAAATCATTGTTATTTTTCTCTGTTCACCATGGTTATGTGCAAAAAAACTTCATAACTTTGCATAAAAAGGCCTTGTCCAGAAAGGCTGTTGCTGCCAGTAACACTGCACTCAAATCGACAATTTACCGAATTATTGAGAACTTTAAAGTAAAGAGAGAGGTTAAATTGTTGTGAAGAAGGCTTTGGGGCACCCAAAAATGTCCAGAAAGTGCCAGGACTGTCCCTTAAAGATGATTCGATTATAGGATTATGGCATCACCAGTGCAGAGCTTGCTTTGGCATGGAAGCAGGCAGGTGAGGGTTGGCACTTTGCAAGTTTGATTCAGACTCAATGGGCCAAACCAGACACTTGCTTCAGGCCACAGTGGGTGCTACGTTCCCCTAAAAAGGTCCAGGGGATTAGGGAAAGTAACAAAAGATGTCCAGGTTGGAAAAAAGACAAGGAGGCAAAATGGTTAAATTAACAGGTTTTATTAATGTTTCTATTAGTAACTAAACTAAAAGAGACGGACAAGCCGCTATCACCTTTTAAAGAAAGAAAACACCAAAACTCAGGTGTTGGTTGATAAACTGAAAATAAGTCAAAAAGGGTTAGTACCAAAACACACTCCTCTCCACAGAGCAGGAGCAATCAATCACCACACACACAGCTCACTAGCTGCAACACAACATGGCTCTCTGGCACTACAGCTCACCTTTCTCTGGCCTTAAGTATTCCTGATTGTTAATGGGAGTGAGCTGTACAAAAAAGGTGGCACCTAAGGCAGGAGAGGTCAATTTCACAAGTAACAGTGGTCACATCCACTGTAGACTGCAGTTTGGTCTCTTGGTTTCTCAGTGATGATCTTTGACATGAAGGTCAGTGTGACAGACGATGATATGTGCTCTCTGTGCAGGTTTGAAACCATGCGGTGAAATCACAGATGCGCATGCGCAAGTGGTCAGAACAGGATCTCTAGGAAAAGATCTAAAAATAACAACAGCAGTGCTGAAAGCAGTGCAACAATGCCCAAGATGACCTTAATTTGCATTAGGAAGCGGGAGTGGTCTTCATATGGACATTTGACTTTGACATGGACAGTGCTACACCTGTCAACACAAATGGTACATTACACTATTTTTCTTACATTTGTAACACACACTTTCATATTTGTTGGTTGAGACATTTTAGTTATCCATAATGACTTTGAGAAGCTAATGGGTTTCTAAGAAATGCACATTGAAAGAGTCCTTGGCTGAGGCGGTCTTTCCTCGTGTTCATACTTCTGCTGTGAATAAATCTCCTGTAATGTACTTGCAAGATGGAAAAAAAAGTTTGTCTTCATTCTGTGTAAAAATGTGTAAAGAGATTGAGCTGAAAAGCTGAAAGAATAATATTCTACAATTGGTTGAACAAATTATTTTATTTCTGCTCTTCTGCTAGAGTTTGAATTACAGGATTAAACATCCCACAGAATGAGGACATCATTTACATTTCTTTCTTTAACTTTGAACAACATGGGGAACAAGAAGATTCTGCGTCCTTTAAAAGTCCTGATAATTTTAACAGTGACCCTCTCATTGCACGGATACAATCCTGACCAAACACTTTCTTTGCAACTGTTGGGAAATGTGTCGTGTTTGAGTGAGCGTTCTCTTTGAAGAATGCATTAGCTTAAGCTCACTTTTGTCCAAGAAGAGGGAAACAAAAGAAATTAGTTAAACAAGAGATATCAGTTCAATCAGAAACTAAACAACTGTTATGATTGGGAATGATGGGAATGATTCAGAGCTGCAAGATGCCTTGATTTTCTTCCAAAGAGATGAGTGATTTGTCCTTTCCTGTGTTTTATTTTTTCATTGCCATTTCTCTGCTTTCTTATCCATTTTAGCTGCCTTCTTGCTTCCTCCCCACACTGTTTTCTTTCTGCCTCTATCCCTCCTACAACTCACTTTGTCTGCATACATTTACTCATCTGGAACATTGTGAACGACAATGTTTGAGGATTAGTGTGTTTATATACAGTATGCATGTCTCAGTGCTGTGTGCTGAGCAGGTCCATTGCAGTAGATGAAGATTAATGTCTTGCTTGAAGGGCACCTCAGCATTATTTTCACAAGTTGTCATCAAGAAATTGCTGGTTTTCTGTTATGTCTCTTTGATATCAAGAGTTTTCAAAAACCAAACTTGACACATCTTTGCTTCTTCTCTTTCTCTTTTTGTCTTTACAGCATGCAAGTGTAACAGCCATGCCAACGTTTGCCACGTCAACACAGGAAAGTGCTTCTGTACCACCAAGGGCGTCAAGGGAGACCAGTGTCAGCTGTGAGTGTGCCAACCCCGATCTAACTTGTCTTGAATTATTAGACAACCCGATCAAATAAAACGTATTTAATCAGTCACTTTAATACTTTAATATATGATATATGTATACTGACAACAAGAAGTGGACTGGAGAGAACACTCAGTGATGTTTCAATGTGCAAAGACGCTTCATCGTAACACCGAATCCATTTCAGGATTGTAAATTTGCCGATTATTGCGTAAGTTTTGGATTACGCCGAAATTAGGTTGATTCAGGATTTGATATTTTGGGTGATTGGAAAGCTAGAATAGTGTTTACAGAGTGCATGGGTTGTGTATGCATGCTTTCCCTTGACTGCCAGACTGCACCGCCGCAGCACTACAATATCCTAAATGGCTTGGCGGACCACTGCGCCGCGGAGACAGACTGAAAACTGCTGCATCAATAAATCTAGCAGGCGAGGGTAGAAAGCAGAGCTGGTGAGTGCTCTGGTGTTTGTGTGGTCTGCCATGTACAACATGCAGCATGATGAGACAAGACAACCCCGGCTGGGACAGATTTCTTTCCCTTATTCTTAAAGTATAATAGCATACCTCAGATTATTTGAGGTCATCTAAGTGAGTGTGTTTGATAATTTGCCACCAGTTATATATTTTAATATTTATATATATATTTT